CCGCCATGTTTTTGATAGCCCCAACAGTGTATCAACGGCTAAAAGTGCCTGGGCCCTTTTCAGGATCGTATCCAGGAAAGGCGCGTACGAACTAGCGTACATTATTTATTGTAAATGGAAATGGCCTATGAGAAAAATGTTCTAATAAAAGTAATTAATGTAATTACTTGCTCCAACGTATAAAAGTATTAACGCGTTATTCGTCAAAACTGCAAATTTTTCAATGTCACACCGACTTTGCACTAACACACGTACAAAAATCCTGTGATTGGTCATAGCTAAAACATGTCGGATATATGCGCAGTACGGATCGGCGCGAACGTGAAACAAAAGAGCGAGTGCCCATACTGGTTATACTGTGGTAATGGTGCGCGAAATTTGAAGTGTGTATTTAGGTAAAGCAGAGAATACTTCGAATAGTATTGAACTTGTGCGTTAGGTTAAAGCAGAGAATGTATTCTCTGCTTTATTTGAAGTGTGTATTTAGGTAAAGCAGAGAATACTTCGAATAGTATTGAACTTGTGCGTTAGGTTAAAGCAGAGAATGTATTCTCTGCTTTAACCAATGCACAAACAATTCAATACCATTCGAAGTATTCTCTGCTTTACAGACAATATTTACAAAGAACACACGCGCACGCACACATACACACACAAGCAGGGGGTACTTTTAATTTACCTAAATACACACTTCAAATTTCGCGCACCATTACGTCACTACGCATGCTCGGTCAGTCTGCGCTGCGCCCGTATAGCGCCAGTTCGTGTCGGTACGACAGGTATCCTAACCCCAAAACCGTCACTTTTCAACACGTTATAACTTTTTTTCTGTGGCAGAACGACGATTTTCACTTTCACAGTTGTGTTTTACGCATCGAAATACACAATATTGCTGCTAAGTTACAGTCAGATCGGTGAGGTTGCCCCTCTCCTTCAGTATTACCTAAAAAAGTCGAAATTGACCGGCTAAGTTTCCGGAGGTCTCTCCTTGAGCAGAAGAAGCAACCCTCCTCTCGTCCGCGTGTTTCGTTAACGTTAGGTTATGTTCACAGTTAGATTAGGTTAGATTACTTTGTATTCTTGAGAACAGAATTAGCGATTATGCTTGTACCGTAGAGCAGTTTCCCAGGAGTACGAAGATGTTGCTGTTGAAACGTGGACTCGAGGCGAGCCTCGCGCAAAACCTTCCGAGAGCGTCGAGGCCGCTCGTGGCATATTCCTCGGAGCCGAGCGGATCGGAACGTCGGTATCGGTTATTGGCGCCCCAGGAGGCGAAGGACGAGCCGTCGTTCTCACGCGTGTCTTGGTGCTTTCAGAGTTCCGAGTGCTGGAGCTTTATTCCAAGTATAAAAAGGTCGTGACGGAGAAGCGGAAAGCTGTCAAGGTGAACGTCCCACCGCCCAGGACGGCGCAGATGCCCGTTGACCAGGACTGGCCGTCGGTCTGGCCGGGCGCGCGAACCTTCCACCCGGGCTCCGTGCCGCTACCGTTGCGCCAGGGCTGGGTGGAAAAGGGCGCGCCGCCCGGCAAGTACCACAACGCCGAGCTCCTCAAGATCCCGAATTTCCTGCACCTGACGCCACCGGCGATACGGCGGCACTGCGAGGCGCTCAAGCAGTTCTGCACCGAGTGGCCCATCGGCTTAGAAACCGAGGAGAAGTGCGCGAGGCACTTTCCCGTCGAGATCGTCACGTCCGACTACTGCTACTCCTCGCCTACCATACGCGACCCACTTGCCAGGATTGTGAGCTTGCGAGTGCGGCTGTCCTCTCTTCACTTGGACACCCACGCCAAGGACAAGCTGCTGCGATTGCTGGGAAACAAGTACAATCCGGAGACCGATGTGATAACGATCACGGCCGACAGATGCCCGACTAAGAAGCAAAACCTGGAGTACGCGCGGTACCTTCTCACGGCGGTGTACCACGAGTCGTGGGTGAGTGACGGCCCGACTGTATCGATCGTTGATGAGCTTAGCGAGTAACACGAGTAACGTCTTGTTTGCAGAGGGTAGAGTCGTGGGAGGCTGAGAAGTCGGTGGCAGACATGGAGTACTTTGACTGGGACATCAGCCCGAGTCGTACGAGTCTGGTGACGCTGTACAAATGGCCGGAACCGCCGACCGATAACGATTACGAGACCATTCCGCATGTGACGGAATACAAAATCGCTGTGTCAGACCTGATAAACAACGGCGAGGACCAGTACTCGGTCAACAAGTACAAGGAAGCGGTTAAAAACTTGTTAAGTCTTAAAAGCGATAATAAAGGTTAAGCGTTGTAAAACATTGTATTGTAATCACGAAGAACTGAATCTATTTCCCCGTGGTTTCCGTAAGCGGCGTCCTACTTGACGAGTTCAATTCGCCGTGTTGCAATTTCACGCTCGTTACCCGCCGTGACTGACACGCCAATGCAGCGGAATCGTAATGGTGTTCGAATTTACGTCAATTTGAATGTAAACGCCGACAATCGGAGCGTACGAAGAGTCAACCGGAAATGCTCGTTATCGTCTCTTCTTCTCAGTATTTATATATATTCGCCAAGCACGTCGAGCCACCGTCACTCGGCGATGTAAAGATTTCGACGACGCGGTATCGCGTGGCGTTAACTCTTCGCGCGTAGTTGCTAAGATGCGCTGAGGACCTCGTCTCCCGCGTATACTGCACGATACAAAAAGCTCAAGTAGCCGCTCGGGGTATAAAATGTTGAGGATCACGTTGCTCCTTGGTGCGTTCGACATCATTCGATGCGAGATGCAGACGACGAGACTGGAAAGGACCGTGGGCGAAGCACCGTCTTGCAGTAATCCGCCCCTGTGTTACTTATCGGATACGTACAAGACGGAGCCGAGGGCCGTGTCTTTTCTACCATACCTGAATTCTCCGAATATGCGCAAGCAACAGGTGATTCAGCGCAGCTACTACGGTGGATTCGGCTCGTCGTGGCCGGCTTATTACCAGTAAGTATTTCTTTTCCTTTTTTCAAATAATCGTATCCGTAGTAATAAATAGATGTTAACTTTAAGCTTAGCTTAACTCGTTCTTTGTCTCCTTCCAACTGTTGCCTTAGAAGGAGACAAACGTGAATAAAATTAATTGCAAGACTAAAATCTGATAATCTCTTTAGGGCTGCCAGTAATAAACAACAATGTAAAGTTTGAGCGACCTTAACTGGCAAATGTTTAATAACTGCTAATTATATAATTGTACAATGCGCGACGTCTCGACCATGGGTTTCGGTCCTTTTCAGGCGCAAATTTCTGGAAGAGAACAATTCTTATCGTCGTATTACATCTCGATAACTTAATTACATTACATGAAAATATGGCTTGTCATGTCGGATGAATATTAACAGAATCAGTAGAATTAAGACACTCAGTTACCTTAAATTCATTGCGCACAGGCCTGACTGAATTTAAGGTAACTGAATGTCCTAATTCTACTGATTCTGTTAATATTCATCCGACATGACAAGCCATATTTTCACATAATGTAATGTAATTAAGTTAATTTAAGATGATAATACGACGATAAGAATTGTTCTCTTCCAGAACTTTGCGCTTGAAAAGGACCGAAACCCATGGTCGAAACGTCGCGCATTGTACAATTATATAATTAGCAGTTATTAAACATTTGCCAGTTAAGGTCGCTCAAACTTTACATTGTTACAAGACTAAAGTTAAGCGACGTTTGGCGAAACCGGGCCTAAGACGCGCCACTTATTAATTCTCGGCGAGAAAAATAACAGGCTAGGAGTAGACCTGGGACTTCCCGCCTCCCAGACGAATGCTCTTCCAACTGACCTATCCAAGCCTCCTCTGTCCGTCGCAACATTCGTCGGTAGTGATAAATGACGTATGTTTCAGCGCTTTTGACCCCATCAGCGTGTTGGCGTCACTGGCGTTCTTGGCATTTCTACTGCAGTCGTTCGCCACGCTCTTCGAACGCTCGAGATCGATCCTGCCGACGATAGTCAGCGGCCGACAATCGGACTTGGGAGTCTCGGAGGCCTCGAAGCATGTGTCGCACGCCCTGCGGGAATACGTGAGTACTGTAAAGGCTGAACGTGTGAGCCGAGCAACGAGCAATAAGAATATAATGTACCTGGTGCTTTCAGGAAAATCTCAATGAAGATCTGGAGGAAAAGTAGTCGCTTCCAGTGTTTACACGCGTAGAAAAAAATATTGTCTCTCCAATCTCTCTAAGAATTTCCGTAAAATAATTTATTCTTCTTTCAAGGATACATACAATTAGTCGACGTACAGCAGAAACTTGTCAGTGTGGGTAAAATTTCATTGAACCTTTCGTATTAATTGTCATAATATTATTGTATTGTATTAATTGTTACTTATGTGATGTAAACCTCTAAACCCAAGTTTGGTAACGCGGAGCATTTTTTTCTTATGCACTCTCTCTCTCTCTCTCTCTCTCTCTCTCTCTCTCTCTTTGGCAACGGAGATTACATGAAATTTTGCTTTTTTTTATCACATGAAATCATATAATGTAATTTCCGAAGACAGTAATAAACGAAAGATTGAGCGGCTCGTCCAAGTTTTGCCTATAACGTCTTATCAATCTTAAATAAGTCTTTCAGAGACACCTTACGTAAATACACAATATAGTAGGTAGTTATAAAATTTGTCATTTTCTAATTATGCATAGAGAAAGAAAGAGCATATCGTACATGTACATAATATATATCTTTTCTTGAATTAAGCTACAAAGAACGTACATAGATAACATTGAAGAAAGTTATTTTATTAGAATACTTGACTCCTTCAGCGCGTGCAGTCAATAGCATAATATTTAAAATTCATATCTGTTAAAAAAAAATCTTATTAAGTCTTATTACTTAACGCGTCTGTGTAAGGCCACAATCTCCTCCATCTTGTGTCCAGGTGCCAAATTTTTGTCTAATCTTACCATGGAACTCTCGTAGACGGTGGAGCTGGTACGGATCTGCATAGAAAATAGAAACGACATCTCATAAAGCCGGGCAGGATTGATAGCGAATTCGGTTGCTCGCACTAGTGAGTACATGTTAAGGAGGTTGGCTGCTCAAATAAAAATGAATTCAAATTTATAGAAAAATATATATATTAAAATGATAATAAATATATATATAATATATATATATATATATATATATATGTATGTAAAAAATGATAAGAATTTTATAAAAATAAATGCAAATAATTCTATACATATTTTTAAAAAATTCTTAACATTTTTAACATGCTTTCGAGAATTAAATTACAGATATCGTAATACTTTGCTATGTTGACCATGCGCAATAGCATATAACTTCAATAATTAATTATTCGACAACCATGCAGACAATTGTCTTAAACTTTTGCATGGAGGACAGATTCCCATAGACGAATATTTTCTATAAACTTGAATTTATTTTTAGCATCTTCATTTCAGCAACCATCCTCCTCAAGGCATCGTTACGTTGCAGTTACTCTCTCGCAATGAAAAGAAAAATATCAAATCTGCATTTGAATTGTTAAGTGTCGATATAAAGGTTTACGCGCAAATGCAAGGCTTGGTGCGATCTGTGGAGGTTTAAAAAAATATATGAAATAACTATTAAATGAGTTAAGTTACAGTTACAGAGGGGTATATTAAATACTCTAAAGAGGTATTTAAGACAAAGTTAAAAATTGGGTGTAAAGAAACATTGGTGTGCGCTCAGCGCGCAAGCAACCGAATTGACTGTTAGGCCGCACCACACAAATATTGTTTAATACCTACTTCTTCTCAACGGTTGGCTTATGATACGGATGGGTTGTTATTAGACCGCGTCTCTCCTTGTTGCGTATCGCCTTAAACGCCGCGTTTACTTTCGCCTCGGAATTGTGCCGGGGAAGTGAGGTAACGCGATTGGACGCGTCGCTCTTCAGTTTATTCAGAATGGCGATACTTTTTGCACTCATTTGTATAGGCCTCTGTTTGTTCTCCTTGTCCACCCGAGTGTTATTCTGTGCAGCAGCTTTATTACTCGTCCCCAGTTTCTTCGTCTGCTTGGAGGGTGTACTGCCGCCTTCGCTGTTCTTGTCGGATAACACGCGCTTCCTGAAGAGGTTTTTCGCAGCAGTTCTCTCCTGCGAAGTCCCTTGCGCAGATTCGTCCCTCAGCAAGGATTTATTCTCGTGGCTGCTGCTCACGTCGTCCAGGTCGAAGGCGTTGTCGGCACAGCTACTTTCACCCGCGTTGAAGGTGGAGTTCAAGACGTTCTCGTTGTAGATGTCCTCGTCGTCCATCCCGGGTATCGCCGTGCCGATCGCTGGCATCGAATTGTTCAACGGGTCCATCCCAATCGTGCCTAGACATGTGAACATGTTGAAGTCGTCCTGCCTGCTCGTCTCCTCTGAGTCGGACCACTTGATATTTCGAAAACCTTCGAGCAGTTTGATCAACTCCTTGAACTCGAGCTGCATCTTCTCGGTCATCGAGCCGTGGCCCTTGAGCATGTTGTAGTAATTCTGCAAGGTGTTGCTCATGGTCTTCGTTATGGTGTTAATCGACTGCCTCTCGCACCGCAGAAGACCGTCGAGTTTCCTCATGTACTGCTGCATACTGGGGATCCAGCATCCCTCCAGTTTGGAGATTTGCAGGGACAGCTTGCTCTGCAGGTTCTCGTCGAGGGGCCTGCCGCTCGCCTCCTGTATCTCCGTCTCGACCGAGCACAACACCTGCCACGTCTCTTGCATCTGCGCCCGAAGGGCCTCCCTTTGCCGTTGGAAGTAATGCAGGGACTTGTTGACGCGTGACTTCCCGCTGGCGTTCTGCTCCTCCAGCGACAGGGCGTCGTTGGCCGCCGTTAGATTGTGCAATCTCTCGTCCGCGTCCTTCTTGAAGAGTATCCTGCACGCCAGGATCTTGTCGGAGCTCTCCAAGGCCAGTACCCTCTCCACCAGATCCCGCTTCTTCTCGTGCAACTCCACCAGCTTGTTGTACGTCTCCAGCATGGCGAGGCTCGGCTTGCACTCGGCCGGCTGGAGCGCTCCATTCTCGAAGGCCGCCAGTCTCGACTTCAATGCGTCTATCTCCTTCTTCTGCTCCTCCACTATCTTGATGTAACCGGCAACGTGCGTCTCGCAAGACACATTCTTCTTGGCGATCGACTTGATCTTCTTCGCGCGATTCGCATACCTCAGGGTGTTGTACGTGTCCTCGTAGGTGAAGCTGCTAGGAGCGATGTTGGCTATCATGACGGTGCGGCAGTTACCGCCGAGCGAGTCCTTGAGTAGCCTCGTGAGCTTGGAGTCTCTGTATGGGATGTGCTTTATGCCGTCCGCGAGATTGTTAATGCAATTCCCGAGAGCCAGCAGGGACTTGTTGATGTTGGCGCCCTCCTTAAACCTCACGCCCTTGCATCCAGTAGCCGAGGCCCTCTCGGATCCCGCCAGGTCGATCATGGACAGCTTGACCCGCTGCACCTGACTGTCCAGCTTGTTAATCATCTTGATGTACACCTGGAACACTGCGTGGCTCCTGCTGCTCTCCTTATTGGCGTCCGTTGGATGCTGAGTGCGATTCTTGTTACCCTCTGCCAGCAGCGAGAGCAACTCCTCGGCATTCTGGATGGCGATCGGCTCTAGACCGGCGACCACCACTCCGCACCTACCGTCCTCCCTCAGATGCAGCTGGCCGGTCTTGTGCAGCAGGTTCTGCACGTTCTCGTTGTATATCTCCAGGTAGGACACGCCCAGATTGAATTCCCGGTGCTTGCTCTGGTTCTCTATCTCAGTGAACAGCTGCGCCATGGTGCGGTACGTGATGCCGAGGTCCTCCCTGCTGCCCAGCATCGTGTGAGTTTTGCCGGCACCGGTGGCACCGTACGCGAACACGGAGCAATTGTAGCCGTCGAGGAGGCTGCTGATCAGACTCTTGGTGCTTCCCTCGAACACGTCGGCGTTGCTGGACGCCAGGTCGAACACCCGGTCGAAGATAAACTGCAGCTGCTTGTTCTGCCTCTTCAGCATGTCCCTGCCCTTCTGCGGCACGTTGCGGAAGAAGAAGGTCGTCTCGTGCTCCTTCGGGTCGAAGATGAGCATCTTGTCGTCCACGACCTCGATGGCCGTCCGGCAGTTGTCCTGTAACTCGCGCTCGTTAGGCGGACGCACTCTCACGATTACCTTGATCGAGATCTCGGAAGTGTCTTCGGTTTTCATCGTAGATGAAACTTTCATAGTAGAGCCGCTCGTGCTCGGCTTCGCCGAGCCGGGCGACAGTCGTTTCACGCCCGCCTTCCTCACTTTGCTGGGTGAGAACGCCTTACCCAGGTCCTTTTTGTTGAAAACCATCCTTTGTTAGCGCTGCAGAGAATCGCCGCGAGGCCTCACAGTGCCATAGCTTTCGCGGTGAGAGATTTCAGAGATCGGAGGAGCACACGTCACTTACGTTGTCCTCACATCGCGACATCGCCGTCTCGCCGCTGCTTCGCAAACTTCCCTTCGGCTCTCGGCGTTTCGTTTCCGTATTCCGTATACTCGACGCACGTACAACTCGCGGGGAGTAACTCTCCAGTCCTCTCAGGTCGCGAAAACGATCGCACGATCGACGTGGGACAACCAACGAAACGCTCTCGTCGCTGCAACAACGTTCGCGATCGGGGGAGCCGTTTGGCGTGGCTGCGTGGCTTGGCGTTACGTTGAGTTTTGAATTTTAAACGCCGACGATCGAGCGCAGTCGCGCCAACCGCGCGGCGCTAAGTTGCTAGGGGAACTGAACGCAGACTTGCAAACTTTGGGGCTTGGGTTACATAAGGTCTGTTCTTTATTAGTCGCTTTCCTTTTACATGAAAACTCAGATAAATCTCACTTGTGATACGTCCTTAGAACATATATACCTGGAAGGGGAATGCCTTTGGGTGCTTTCCAATTGCAATATCCCCACAGTATAACCAGTATGGGCACTCGCTCTTTTGTTTCACGTTCGCGCCGATCCGTACTGCGCATCCGACATGTTTTAGCTATGACCAATCACAGGATTTTTGTACGTGTGTTAGTGCAAAGTCGGTGTGACATTGAAAAATTTGCAGTTTTGACGAATAACGCATTAATACTTTTATACGTTGGAGCAAGTAATTACATTAATTACTTTTATTAGAACATTTTTTTCATAGGCCATTTCCATTTACAATAAATAATGTACGCTAGTTCGTACGTGCTTTTCCTGGATACGATCCTGAAAAGGGCCCAGGCACTTTTAGCCGTTGATACACTGTTGGGGCTATCAAAAACATGGCGGAAAATTGAGAACGCCCAGATCAAAGGCGCCGACAGAGAGTGCCCATACTAGTTATACTATGATATCCCATGGACCTAAGGCTGGGTCTACATAGGATGTAGTAAGTCGTGTCGGAAGAAATTGACCAATCACAGTTCATTATTCTTCGACCGTAAGGAGAATACCGTGCGTTCTTTTAGGAATCGGATACAGCAGTTTTTGCAGTAATTCATTCTTTTAGCCCGACTGCGCAGTCGACTGCACCGCAGATTTCCGTCAGCCGGCAAATCCGATGCGCAGCGGTTGCCAAATCCGATGCCTAAAAGAACGCACCCATAATGAACTGTAATTGGTCAATTTCTTCCGACACGACTTACTACATCCTATGTAGACCCAGCCTTAGGCTGGTATTAC